GGAAACATTAAGTTCAAAGCAACATCCGAATCCCCTTAGGCAATGTGAATAGAATTAAAGCAGTAGAGACCCCTCTCATTAGTTAGAATGCAGATTTTAGCCAATACACAAGTGTGAAGATGTTTCCTTTACCAACTGCTCTGAGAACCAAATAAAAATACATTCCCGTGGCTATCTTCTGTTAGACATTAAAGTGAATCATCCCACATGGCTATCATATACATTCCCCAAAAGGTGAGGGGATCTTAAGGCGCTTCGGCGCCAGAAAACCAGTTGTAAAATATCAGTTGTCACAGGCACTGCTAATAAATTGACTCCAAGACTCCCCTCTTCCCAACTGAATGGCAGTATCACTTTTAGGGATCTGACATTCACCCCGTTCAGCTTTCTGACTCAATTTCCTTTTTCTCTTCCACCAACAGACACAGTCTTCAGCATTTCTTTCTCTCTCTGTAGTACATAAGTAATGCCCTTGTGGATTAGACCCCTCAACCTTTTTCACAATGGCCAATCAACTGCGCAAGGAAACCCACTAGTCTTCTAGCATACTGCCTTCAGAAGCTTCTTGTGGCCATATAGACTAATCATCATTGATCACTATGGTTTCCATGAATTTGTTCAACCTGTTTTTGAAACTAGCAAGTTGATAACCCAGCATTTCTCATGAATCCAAATTTTAATTATGCTTGTGTAAAAAAAAAACTTTGTTTTCTTTTTCCCATTTCTTTCAGGATTCTGTTTCACCTTGGTTCTAGCATTTTGGGGGAAGAAAAATAGCTTCTCATTGTCCATTTTATTTCTTCCATGCATTTTACATGTTAATCATGCCCCCTCTCATTCATCTCTTTATAAAATAAAAAAAGGCCCAAATGTTGAAAATTTCCTCATAGATAAGCTAAGCCATAGTTGCCTTGTTCTGAACCTTCTCTCTCTCTCTCCCTCTCCCTCTCCATCCATCCATCCATCCATCCATCCATCCATCCATCCATCCATCCATCCATCCATCCATCCATCTATCATCTGAGATATATCAAGAGCAGAAGCACCACTGATTTATCTAAAGGCATTATGATAATTAACATATCTATTTTCAATGTTATTTCTTAAAATCCTTAAAATTCTTTTAAACGTTTTCTAAAGTCGATGCATGGAGCAAATAAAATTGAACAGTTTACTATTACTCCAAGATCTCTTTGTCACTGCTAGTTCCGATTTCATTCATTCATTCTTTATTTTGCTATCATATTTCTATCCCAGCAATCTTACCTGAGTGACTCTCATGGTTTATTTGTAGTAGTAGTTAGGATTTTGGCACCAATGTGTATCACTTGACACTTGCTCATCTTTCATGTTGACGCCCACTCCCCTAATGTTTAGAGATCCCTCTGGAATACAAACTTATACTGTGAACAATTTAGTGTCATCTGCAAAGTTCGCTTTCCCCCCAGTCATGTCACTAATACATGCTTGGCAAAACAATAAAGGAATTGCATACTCTCTAGGCAGCATCATCTCTTCACCCAATCCTTTCCCCACATACCATTACATGTGAAACTTTGTGTAATGGCCACCTGTGAGTTGCTCAACAATAGCAACTAGAATAGTCCAACTGCTATTATAAATTAGGAGTCGTGACTGTGTCACTAACTGATGAAGTTGCCACTTCCAATTTCCATTGTTAAGTGAGTTTTCTTTTTTCAAATGAAGGCGATAATAAAGGTAATATTTTTCTTTTTTCAGTATAGTTTTTTAAAACTAATACAGGTAGCCCTCTATTTACTAGCCCAACTGAACCCAAAATTTCCATTGCTAAGACAGTTGTTGTGAGTTTTGCCCCATTTTACGACCTTTCTTCACCCAGTTGTCAAGTGAATCATTGCATTTGTTAAATTAATAATGCAGTTGTTCAGTGAATCTGGCTGCAGTGGTGGGTTGCAGGCGGTACGCTCCGGTACGGGCATACCGGAGCCTGTCCGGAGCACTGTATACCGTTCCGGTATGGTGCTCCAGAGGACCCGCCCGCCCGAGCTCCTTTCCGGTCTTTTAAGTCTTTGGCACTTCTGCGCATGATGCGTACAGCGCCTGCACAATGCTTTGCTGAGCAGCTGAAGCATCGCGGAGACTCGTGGAAACAATAAGACGCACGTGTGCTGCTCACATTCACATACATGATGCTGGGCCTGTTCCAATTGTACTGGTTGGAACGGGATCCGGAACCTACTACTGATCTGGCTTCCTTATTGACTTTGCTTGTCAGAAGATTGCAAAAAATGATCACATGACAACGGGACACTGCAACCATCATAAATATGTTCCAGTTGCTAAATGTCTGAATTTTGATCGCCTGACCATGGGGATGTGCAAGTTCTAAGTATGAAAGATGGTCATAAGTCCATTTCAATGCCGTAATTTTGAACACTCACTAAACAAATGGTTTTAAGTCAAGGACTACCTGTATACGTAGTAGCTTTAGTTTTGTCTAACTTTTATTTTCATTGTATATAAAAATGGATTATTGCAAAGAAAGAAGAGCTGAGGTGAGATTTAACAGAAGTATTGTGGAATAGATTTACTCTTTATTACCATAGAGATCAGAAGCAGAAGTTTAAAATGGCAGCTTAGACTAGACAGGAAGAATTCGGTTCCACCACAAAAGCGCGTAGGACAAAATCGCGCTCGACAAAAGTGCGCTGTGACGTCATCACAGCGCGACGAAAAAGATCGAAAAAA